ACAAACGACGCTGAGAGCTTCTGTTTTCCGACGCCGTTAAATGATTCGTCTATAATTAAAACGAAAATCCACAAAGCTCGGCATTTAAACTTTGATATTCGCAAAAATCAAAAATGGTTTAGCCGTGGTACCATAGAAAAATTTCCGTAAAAACTCGGTTAATCTGCGTAATGCTAATACTTATTTAATGACCTATGTCGAATTTCCCAGGTGATTTGTGAACATTCGCTTGGCCTTCATCGAATAATTTAGACATTAAGCTAACGGTGTAATCGGAATATATATATATATATGTAGATCAATATACATATAGATAGATAGATAAATAGATAGATGAAGAATTTATTCGTATAGAGAATAAATCGGACTCGAATATTAGAATATTGTAAGTCAAACAATATTCGGGAAAAACAAACTAAAGATCGGCATTGGTAATCGATCAACCTCAGTAAATCCGGTTTTGCAGATAGACTTGCAGACACCCCCCGAGGGAACGCAACGGACAAAGAAACGCGGAATAAGTACTGACAGTCACGACAATTGTTTTCCAATACCTCGCGAAAACCTTATTAGCTTATGCATTCAATACAAGGGCGGCGGAAGCGCGACAACAAGCGCGATGAAGACGGAGGCGCCCTTCCACCCCGTAATGTGAGAAATAACGTAGCCGGTGTACCCTCGGAGAAACTTGTTCCATTTATCTCGAGTCCTCCTGAGAAATGCTTGTGACTCTACGTGGAACACAGGATAAACCTTACCTACAATGAATCATCGTGTAAACCGCGCATTTCGCCTTCGCGTCCATCAAAGATATAACATTGTTCCTAAAGGAAAATGATCCAATTCGAAAATTCGTCCAGACAGCGTTATCAGTACGGTTAAATGAACTCTGACAGCCCTAGATTCGGCACTCCGACGAAATTTTCTATGTTAATATATAGGTATATACATATATATATTGCATTCTTTCTTGACATAAAGAGAAATGTAAGTCTCATATAATGAAAGAGATAAAATATTACATTTCAACAGGTTCAAATAAACTCTTGAAATACTATTTGTAATAAAAAAAGTTCTTTCTCCAAGTCAAATAATCTTTAATATGAAAGGATCAAAAATATGCTCAGCGTTATTTATATTTTATAATTTTAGTCAACAATTTCGCTATTATTCATATAATTTACATTAAAATAAAGCCAATAGTAACAATATTATGCAGTTTGATAAATATTAAAAATATTGCATATATTAAATCTTACTGTCGAGACGTTGCGGAATGTAAATTATATAAAAACATACATTGCAAGAAAGTTAACATCATATTCACACACATAAAACAATATAGTTTTGCTATAAGCGTTTTTTAATAAACGAAACGCGCATAGTTAGCTTAAGCCATAACTATATTTACAGAAATACGCGTGTAAAAATATGGATGAGTGCACTGTAACGTTGTGAATGTTTCACTGTAACCAAATAGCCCCGCCGAGGCAGCAAACGAGTTCGCGAAGTTCACGAAGGTTGTTTATCGTCGAAGCGAAGAGAGAAAAGTTACCACAAAGCAATGGCCTTTTAATGTGTGGCAAGGGCTTCGGCGAACTTCCGCTCGCAACTTTTTGCTGTAATTAATTCCTACGATTAGAAGTACTCTTAGGAGCTGCACGTTGCCGTTGCAAGTAAGACGCATAAATTACGCGGATCCCCGTTCGATGGAAACTCTTTGTTTCTGTGTGTATAACATCGAGATTAATGCTAACGCCTTTGCCGCTCACAATATTTATGAATACGACGGGTACAGAAATGGGGGAGAGTGTTTCTGTATTGCCTCGTGTTTTATGATACGGAGGACCGCTCTTTTTTATTGGGTGATAAAGGGGAAGTGCTACCCGACAAAAATAGAATTCAACCGAGAGAACCATTTTCCGCGATATGCAAAACTGTAAAAGGTCAGTTCTAACTGACAATTTGATACGGGCTTGATCTTGCGCTTGCTTTTTTTTATTCGTGATACATACAATTCTGAAATTCTGAAATTGCCTTGCGTTTGTTATCCAAACGGAATAATATTCGTGAAAAAAATAACACAGTCGGTGTTGTTCAATATACATAATTTTTTCCTAGCGCAACAAACATGTTAGTATTGTAGATTATAATTAAAATAGAGAGAAAAAACCAAGGTGAAACACGCAGCGGTAATAAATTGTTCATTATTTTTGCCGTCCAGTACAAAGACTATTTATCGTAATACGACTTCAAAGCTTGTTGCAACTGACGGAACGTTGTTGAACGAAATTCGCGGCGAAGCGTGCGCACACGAGTATGCCGCGTCGCGCGGCCATAAAGAGAAGTAGAATACCGCTTGCGCCATAAATCTTTACGGGTAATCATTTCTTATAATGCTTGAAGGAATTTCAACATGCAATTCCTCGCGACGATGAGAGTTGCAGAGAACCTTATGCTCAAGTGTCTATATGAATTCAAAGACATAGAAAACGAGACCCATCGATGGCGAGAGCCTTTGATCTTTATTCCCATGCATACATATTTCACGATTGAGAGATGTTAATCATACTCACAAATATTACCTATCCTTTATCAACCAACGACGTCAAAGCGTATGGATGTGCCTGTATTTATTATGTGAAATATATACACATGTATTAAAAATTACACTTTTTTGCAATTAAAGAAAATTTCTAACGAATGATACATTCTTTCAATTTTCACAACGAAAGTTAATCACTCTTATCCGGAATATTGCTGTAATTATCTCTAAATAGAAAAATCTTTAAAAAAGAACATTTATTAAAAACAAAACAAAAATTTGCTATTTTGTTATCTCCTTGCATTCTCGGAAAATAGATTAAATGTACTTATCAATTGCACATACCTTGAATTCACATACTGAAAGTAATAGCTTTCTCTTTGATTTCTACTATTTGTACTCTAAAGAAAATATCACTTGCTGTATCATCTATAATAAGTATAGTAATCTGTTGTTGCAACACAATGTCATTGCATTAACAATCAATCTTGTTATTAATTACAGAAATTAAAATTACATATTAAATGGATAATATGTAATAGCATAAATGGATGCAGGCTCATTAACCTTTACGGTACGATAAATAGACTGTTTCGTATTATTATCCAGTACATTCGTATTATTACTATTATTATATAATACATTTATATTATATTAGTCGATTAGTTAATAACGGTCCGAATAACAAATTTAATTTCATCTTATTACTCGTGAAAATTCGACTATTATATCGACTATGTCAGAATATAAGAGGTTGCTTCTATTGATTGCTAATGGACCCTACTCGATGCTTAAAGTACTCACTTTCGTTTCTGACATCATACGAGACGTTGCCCGCAATCGAAAGTCAAATAAATTTGTCTCAGTCAATCAAGACGTACGACAGTTCATTCCACCTGCCTATCCGCGGTTCAATTATAAGAAGACAGACATCTATACCTCGTTTGCGTCGTTTAAGGGACTATCCAAGAATTACACGTAAAATACTCGGCATAGACTTTTATCTCTTTCTTAGGTAGATCGATTAATAATGATACAATTGCGCTTTCGTATTGCAGCAAGAGAAAGTAATATATATAACACGCACACGAATTATCAGACTAGTTTTCACTAGTTTCTAATCGAATAATACAAATAATATTAGATAAAACAGGTACTTGACAGAATTTCGGAAATATATTTTGATCCGTAAATAAATGTGTTATAATTTATTTTATTTTATTTATTTTATTTATTTATTTTATTTGCTTACCAAACAACAAAGCTTGATTCCAGCTTTATTAGGCTACCACAGGATTTAACAATATCGGAAAAACAACATTTGTAATAAAATATCCCATCAAATTCTGAAATATATCGATATTATTTTCATACATAATGTAGAATAAAAAGTATCTATTAAGGTATTTTAAAAATTCATATCCTCGTTTCAGTTTCCTCGAGTATATGAATATCTTGATGGACGTTTTGCAACATCCGCAAATTGCTTTGCATACTTCGACACAGAAGATAAGCGAGGCATGATATCTCTCTCATGAAATTTTATGTCCAGAACCTCTATAAGTAAACTACTAACGTGTTACATCGCGTGTAGAAAAATCCGTTTAGATATATTTTCAGGAATATTTCGGTGCCATTTTTTATTTCGACACAGCTGAAAATCCGAAATATGTCAAGAATATCATTTTTTTGCGATTGCGCATTACCACTATCAAGGCATGCACTCGAAACGTGTCGTATAAACCATTCCACGAACGTTCTAAAACTTAGCCCGACTATATAGCAGCGGCACTTAGCTTTTAACTCTTGAAATTTTTATCCTTTGTGTGCTCGCTGATTTCTTTTTACAAATACATTATTCCATTTCAACTAACATGGTGTTAAAAAGGACAAAAGACTTTGCGGCATACAACGTAAAATATTCAATAGCTATCATTTCTAACTAGTGATTAAATTTTAATTGATAGACGAAAGTAAAGCGTTTTAATTATCTCTCATGCCTGTATTAAAAGTCTATATAATAAATTCTAGACGTGCAATAATTCAAGAAGCATCTTGGTATATATCTGTATATCACGCGTCGATACATTGACAGAGAAGCTTGAGCATCGCGTTGTCTCCGTGGCAAGGTCTAATTGGTTCGATAAGCGCAAATAGGCGGGAATAATTAAATCTCCTCTCTCGATGCGGCATAGAGAATCAAAGCTGTCAAGGCAATTAACCCGTGTAAACTTGTGAGCCCGATCCTCCTACTGACAATCATCCATCGATTGTCGCGCATTTCCCTCAACGACTCATGATATTCGATATTATCGGCCAAAAATCCCATCGTCCCGAGTGCCCGATAAGAGAACGCGCGCCGCATGGGATGCTGGGAAGAGGGGTTGGTTCGGTTCAAGCCGGCGCCCTCGCTCCACAAGTTCCTTCAGTATACGCGCGTAGCTACATTCGGTTGGATCCTATCTCGCATCGTGTTTGAAAATCGCGTCATCTTCGTATATCGGGAAAATCTTCCACTAGGGAAACATTTCGTCGGTCGGTTTACGTGTCAAAAACTACCGCTGTGTTTACTTAAATTTGATTCGAAGACAATTTAAGCTGGCGCGAATATAATTCATTCCTTGAAGTGTTCTCTAAGTATATAATGCTCGTTATAAATTGAAACTTTAAAAAACTTAGAAAACTGCGTATATTGAGATTCCACGTCGGTTAATCACAGAAACTTCGAGCGAGCGTCGACGTAGCTGTCATCTTGAAGTTTGCTAATTGCAATCACACGGCTTTGTGAAGGACAAAATACTGCCATTGCAATGGTATCATTTACTTCAAGCGTTTTGCTTGAAAAAATTCCCAAATTATTATTTTTGTGCAGTAAAGAATATTGTAACATTATAGTGCATAAACTAGATAGTTAAGAAAAGTTGATTTAAGAAAGATAGTTATTGAAAGTGAAGACTATATTCACGTCTTTCGTGAGCAACCAAAAATTCCATAAAGCAATTTCATATTTTGGAAGGTACTTCAACCACATATACGGCCATTCGTAATTTCCTTATCGCAGCCGTCAGAGATTCAATCGATTTCAATTTGCGCGAGCTGGTACTGCCGAGGCAATATATCTCGAATTCCTTTGCTTCTTTCAGTACGGTTGATAATGCTCGCCTGGAGGATTCTTTCGACCATGATACCACTCGAGATTCTTCTCGAGTTAAAAAACGCGGCTTATTCGCGCGTGTAACCATTAAAAAATAATCATCCACGTATTACAAGACTGAGACAGTGTTCCAGCGCAGGGGGAGAAATGGCAACACATTAAGAGATGAAGTTTTACTCGGGGAGGTAAGTATTGCGCAGAATGTATGAAGCTTCTTCAGTTTCTTTAGCGACTAATTAGAAAATATTCCCATCGTATAGCTTGTTATCCAAAGCAATAACTCTTCGTGTTAACGTAAAGTCATACTGACACGTATTGGATGAGTAAGCGAACAATGTAAATTAGGCTTAACCGTATAGTTAATTCTAGTTTAACGCAGGGAAAAAGAGAAAGAGAGCAGTACTAAAATAATGTTCCAATTTTCCCGCGAGTTGGCACCTCTTTTATTTTTTGCTGCAACGATTAAACCGGAGTGCTGAATTAGCTAGTTTTTTGCTTATATTATTTAATATTCTCTTTCTCTCTTTTATACACTCTTTTTGTCTCGTAGGCAATGTTATAATTTCTCTAATTTAAAGATTTATTGAGCTATTGTTCGTATATACAAAGAGTATAAAAACAATTGTACAGTCACTAAAAAGAAGTCTATACTTTACCATTGAGAGTATAAAGAAAATTTAATTAATATTTCCTCGCAAGAATTCTTTTATTCCAATAGCTCATTGTTCGACAGAATTCCTTATTGTATACCATTAAAAGCAAAATTTCTCGTATCGCCTCTCGAGATATCATCCTAACTATTACTACAAAGACCCATCGACCCTTATTTAGTCCCCATAGAAAAAGCCGATGGCCAAACAGCGAACCCTTGGACGTAGAGCGAGCATCTAAGATCATTGTACGACCCTTTACGACCGCAGTAATTCTTTAGACCGCGCACACCGACTCTACCCTCGGTTATCGGTGTAACTACTTCGTGTGGTAGCAGGGCTCCTTTACTTCTGATGAAGTTACATTCGTAGTACCAGAGATCCATCTTGCCAACAGGCTCTCTCTCACCTTTCTTTTAAATTCATCGAAACCTTTAGACGAGTCATACGGAATACACATAGTAATCAAACACTTGCACGTACGCTCATCACGTTTGCAAACGTTTGCAATATTGTTTTATTTTTTATTATAATTTTTGTCTTAAACATGTAAACATATAATGTAAATACTTTAAAACATTTAACAAAATTAAAAAAAAAACATAAATGACTTAAAAAAAAAAAATATTTAAAGAAGCATGAAACATATGTGCATAATCCTTAAAAAAGAAAAGAACAGAAAATTATGTATTAATATTTATTTGTCATTTTGATTATTTATTATTATTTTATAAATACTGCTAAAAGCATTTACATAAAAGATATATTATTTATAAAGATTCCTAAAAGTGTTTATATAAAATATGTGTTATTTATGAATATTCCTAAAAAGTTCAATAAAAATATATAATAATCTTGAATTATTTCAAAAAATTATTTTCTAAAATATTTGTGCTTTTTAATAAGAATATAACGTTTCTTACAAATAATTCAAATAATAAAATAAATAAGTTGCAAAAGCTATCCGCACTTAGGGTATAGAAGAAAGAAGATACTTTAGTTGCAGGCATTTGTGCGCAAAAACGGTCTCGACAGTGATTTATTATAACATTTCATTTCACGTAACATACTCTCAAGGAAACTCAGCTTTAGATATACCTACGATATGCTGGTGAAAGAGTTGTACTCTGTCGTAAATATAAAGGAAAATAAAAATTACTGCAAACATCTTGAAAGCTGTGCTTTATGTGTTCCCCCTATATAATATAATTTCGCATTCACTACCTTTCTCTTAAATTATTCTAAATGTTTGTATCATGAAAATTTAAAGATCCGTGCGTATCTATTGACACGGTGAATAACTTTTAATGAATGCAAGCTCTTCCGCGAAGTTTATACCAAACTTTCGAGTCAAACTTGAATTTCGTCTTACAAATTTTCGGCTTTTCCCACCGCGGATTCTTGTTCCGCACAGCAGATGTGCGGCACGCCGTATTAAGTTTACCGTTTTGAAAGCGGTTAAAGTTACAAAATCGAATTGAGAAGCGTATTAAAATTCAACGAAAACGATATTATATCTGAGCATAATATGCGACTGATGAAAACTTAATGCTAGAATTATGTAGCCTTACTACGATTAAGCTGTGGCTCGCGGAGAAGTTATTTCTAAGACTAAAAGACTATTATCTGCCCACGTATACCAGATGTCTTACGAGATGGTCGTGAGATGAATATGCATTGCGACAATGGAGACGAGAATTACCCCTTGACACAGATCCTAGATTATCGCTTCATTCTTGGGACGTCCAGTTGCCATAGAGATGAGTGAACGAAGTACAGACATAGGTGAGAGCAGTCTTAATAAGAGTTTGATTAAAAAGTTGAGTATATAGCGCATGACGGTGTTGCTATCAAGTGCAACAATCGCCATGGGCAATTCCTTTAATTTTTACCGCCTCTGATTTTCTACAGAATGATGAAAATCTTAATAATATAATAATGTCTCCGCTGTCACTGTTCTTATCGCGAGCAATTGTATTACATTTATGCGAGCACATTTCCACAGGACAATTCAAATTTACATAAGCGAACGGACGAAAGTGCTTTACATTAGATTTAACATTCTTCGTGAATCTCATGAATCTCATTCGGACACTTTCAGAACAATTAACAAATGCTAAGTGAACAATGTAACAATGTGTTTAATATTTAGACGCAATCAATAAATGAGCAATAATTATTTATCTTTTATGCATTTTGCTTCATTATTGATATTTAATCGCTGATTTCAAACAAAGATGCTTAGTGTGCGTGTGATGGGTGTATATTTTTACACGTACGCACACATATGAATAAAAACAACAAATAAAATGCAACAAAAACCAACATTACCATACATTTTCATAATTTTAACGCGTCGTTAGTCGATACTCGCTGGAAATTTTCACCTCGATATATTACGATATTCGATTAATCACGAACATGCGGTACTCTCGAGAAACGTGGTCGTAAATGAGGACTATCGCCGTGGTAATTTTACAGCTTCAGAGCAGCAGCGCGTATATGAATATATTGTGCATATCTACGATCTGAACTGTAGTTAGGTATTTAATAATCATATTATAATGCATCACGTACAGCGCCGGCATAATTCTTCTTTATTAAAAGGCATACTGCGTAGCCGCAGAAATTTACAGGCCATTTCAGTTCTTAATTGGTCTTTACATTTCATGAAAGATTTAATTCCGAAATATGCAAAAGGTGCTCACTTGTAAAAGTATGATTATTTGCCTTCATTGTAGCGTATTACGCCTTTGAACCTGCGTTTATAGTGTAATTTCTCGTTGCATTTATCACTAAATTTCTGGTTAAACTCAACTTCGAAATGGTATAACTGTTAAATATACCCAAACCAACCAATAAAACTTTCGAACGCGCGTAGTAACGATGTATCATTAGAGGATAACAAATAACTAATTTAAAATATACATGTAAATGGTGCGATATCGTTGTATTATTTGAAAACATTAAAGTTCAATAATCGATACATTTACATATCCACCATAAATGTGATTGATTTATTAAACGTTATAAACGGAATAATAATTTATCATTATAAGATTCTAGTAGTATGTATATCTATTATTTTCTGCGCTTAGACGGTATTTTTAAACTTTATCGCAAACAAAAAATCTGCTGGTAATACCTTTCCGTGCACATAAAAAAGCGCAAACTTAATTAGTCGTGACAATGTCACTTTTAAACAAGCCGGACGTAGACGCAATTAACCATCGTGGCAAAAATATGAAAGCTGGGACTTGTTTATCTGGGGTTTCTCTTTTGTGAGATCACATATTCGATGAATCCAGAAAATATTAGTATCTCGTTATAATAGAGAGCTATATACGTACATACATACATGCAGCCATTTATTAAAAACTAAAACCAAAATAAATAACAGTAAAATAAAACTATTATTACTAAACTAAAATAATATTAAATTTTCTTGAATTTAATACACATTTCTCCACCGTTTCTGTTCATTTTGCATATTGCGATCTTCATTAAATTCCTTATATTCCTATACTCAAGCTACACGCTTTTTTCCTCGATTCTCTTTTTATTTATCATATATACAAAATAATTCATAAAGTTTTAATGTTTTACGAGATATTTTTTGAAATCATTATAAGTAAAAAAGTTTATACAAATATAAATGCAATTCTAAATATTTAGGAAGTTACCTGTAACATTTTTGGGAGTGCGATATTGTGATCTAAGTCATTTAGATTTTGCAATTAAAAGTGAATGAAAGATCTTGTTAAAAAAAGGCGTAAATACAGGATGCTTTACTATACATTGAATTTCAAATGTGTCCATATAAATTAGGAATGGTATTTGAATGGTATCCTGCAACGGAGAATTTATATCTAGGTTTTATAGTTGATAAAATATGTACAATAAAAGTATCCAATACAATTAAGTATAAATATGCCTCGATTATCGAAATAGAAAGTAACAATGTGACGCTTCGTCGAAACTTTATTGCTTGGTAGACTATAGAGTGCGTCAACGATGCAAATATTACCGAGAGTCAATTCCATGCACCGCCAATGATTATCCATTAGACCTCGAATAACGGCGGTTTATAATACAGTTATGTGGTAACGCCTCATTTCCGGCAGGATGTGACATTATTTGGAAATAATTACGTAAGCACGACGAAAGTGCATTTACGATTAAGCCGGAAATTGAAAATACGCCGTAGAATCTTCATTATATTCAAAGGTGCTTTGAAAGTATTCTGCTATCATCGTAATTGCAAGTTCCACTCATTAAAAATTGGATTATAAAAAATCTTCTATTACTTTAATAAAAAAACACACACAAATTTAAAATAATTCTTTTAAATTGTGGAGAATTCGTAGTTTCCTACATTTTTATATATAGATGACTCAAAATGTTTTAAACCGTTTTTAATTAATAAAAATTTATCGTATTAAAATCGTAAATCTAAAACTTCGAAAACTTATATTAATGAAAAACTGGATATTTATATTATAATAATAATAATTTATATTATGACAAAATTTAAG